AAGGGACCATTCCCTGGAGAAGGATGTCATGCTTGGTAGGGTGGAGGGTCGACGAAAGAGGGGGAGGCCTTCAACGAGATGGATTGACACAGTGGCTGCGATGATGGACTCAAGTATAGCGGGGATTGTGGGGCTGGTGTGGGATCGGGCAGTGTTTTGTTCTGCTGTGCATGGGGTCGCTATGAGTCGGAAACGACTACGGCACTTAACAACTAACAACAACAACAATGGTGATTGGTCTAGGGAGATATATCAGAGCAGATTGCTATGACTGCAGGGCCTGATACTCACCCATCACAAACACTGAGGTGCCTTCATCGAGCATCTTTTCCAAGTGCTTACTCAAGCCATCAAACTTCACACAGTGGTAGGTTCCACTATCTTCCCTGGTGACATTGTGGATATAGATGGAATAATCCCAATTAAATGGCTTTAGTGTCCGCTTGATTATAGGCATCACCCCAGGGAAGAAGCCATGTTTGAAGTTATAAATTTCCTGCTGGTCCTCATTTCTCACCTTGATCCATTTTACCATGTCATCGGTCCAGGAGCTGACCACTGTACACCTTAGTAAGAGTGTCTCTCCTTTTGCCACTAGCATGGGGCCCTCAGGCTGTAGCACCTGCCACTCAATCATATTCCTTTGCTCAGAAGTTCCTGCAACAGAGGTAGAAAGCCATTGCACTCAGGAGGAAGGACTTAGAGCCCTAAGAGGCAAGCTTAAAACAATATCTTTATCTAACCATTATCTAGCTAAGAATAATTGCATAGGACACTACAGGGGAGTAGTTGTAGAGGGAAAGGAAAGAGGAGAGATGAGATGGCTGGTTGGAGAGAACAAACTAAACTAGAATTCTATGCTGAGTGAAAATATCTTTCCAAAGGAAAAGCAAAATAGAATTCTTAAGCCACATAAACATAAACCCACTTTATAATATAATCTAGAATGTTCAGGTAGTTCTGCAGACAGAAGGAAAGTGACTTCAGATGGAAATATAGGTTTACACAGAAAAAAGAAGAGTGCCATAAATAAAAGGTGCTCTGGTGGCATAGTGAGTAACACATTTGGCTACTAACCAGAAGGTCAGTGGTTCAAACCCATCAGCTGTTCCACAGGAGGCAGATGAGGCAATCTACTTGCATAAAGAATTATAGCCTTGGAAAGCCAATGGGAGTCACTATGAGTCAGAATCAACTTGATGGCAGTGGGTTGGTTGGTTCATTGGTTGCCATAAATAATACCTACATGGGTAAATATATAGTCTTTTTTGACAAAAGTATTTTAATGGTACACTAGAAAATAACTATTAAATGTAAAGTAAGTAAGGAAGGAATCAAGGAAGAAAAAAGATATAATCACTGTCGTCGAGTTGGATCCAACTCATAGAGACCCCTCCTTGGGTTTCTGAGGCAGTATCACCACTGAAGTTGATTGCCCAATCTTCTTTCCAAGGAGTGGCTGGCTGGTGGGTTTGAACCACCAGCCTTCTGGTTAGCAGTCAAATGCCTTAGGCACTATGCCATCAGAGCTCCTATAAGACATATAGGAAACAAATAAAATATTTAAGAATAAATTTAACCAAAGATTTGTACATTGAAAACTACAAAATATTGTTGAAAGAAATTAAAGAATGCCTAAATGTAGTGTAGTGCCTAAGGCATTTGACTGCTAACCAGAAGGCTGGTGGTTCAAAACCACTAGCCACTCCTCAGAAGGAAGGTTGGGAAATCTACTTCTGTAGTGATACTGCCTCGGAAACCCAAGGAGGGGTCGCTATGAGTCAGATATGACTCTGTGGCAGTGGGTTTGATTTTGGTTTAAATGCATGCTATGTTCATGGATCAGAGACTGCCTTAGTCAACTGGTGCTGCTGTAACACAAATATCACAAGTGGATGGCTTTAAAGACCAAAAATTTATTTTCTCACAATTAGTTCTGGAGGCTAAAATTCCAATAAGGGTCTCAGTCATGCCAATTCTTTCCCTGTCAGTAACCCTGGGTGTTCATTGGTTCCTTGGTATTCCTTAGCTTGTAGTAATCCTTACATGATGTCTCTCTTCCCCTATATGTATGTCTGTGTCTTTTTGTAGTTCAGAAGTGATTAGGTGTAGGATTCACCCTACACTAGTATGGTTCCCATTAACAAAACAAAACAGGATCACATCCACATGTACAAGGGCCAGAAGCTCAACACATATTTTTGGGGGACACAATTCAATTCATACAAGAGACTTAATATTATTAAGATGACACTATACCCCAAATTAATCTACAAGTTCAAGGAAGTTCTTATTAAAATTCCAATATCCTTTTCTTGCTGCAATTGAAAAGTTCATCCTAATATTTTTAAAGAAATGCCAGGGACCAAGAGTAGTCAACCAAACCAAACCCATTGCCATCAAGTTGATTCTGACTCATTGCGACCTCCATTGGGTTTCCAAGGCAGTAAATCTTTATGAAAGTAGATTGCCCAGTCTTGCTTCCACAGAGTGGCTGGTGGGTTTGAACCACCAACCTTCTGGTTAGCAGTAAGATGCCTTAGACCCTGTGCTACCAGAGCTCCTTAGAGTAGCCAAAGCAATCTTGAAAAAGAAGAATAAATTTAGAGGGTTCACATTTCCCAATTTCAAAACTTACTACAAATATACCATAATCAAGATAGTGTGATACTGGCATAAGGATAGACGTATAGATTAATGAACAGAATTGAGAGTCTAGAAGTAAACACATACATCTATGGTCAACCGATTTTCAAAGAGAGTGGCAAGACAATTCAACAGGGAAAGAAAAGAAGTCTTTTCAACAAATGGTGTTGGGACAACTAGATATCCAAATGCAAAAGAATAAATTTGATCCCTACCTCATACCATATACAAAACTTTAGCTCAAAATGGATCAAAGTCCTAAAGGTAAGAGGTAAAACTATAAAATTATTAGAAGAAAATGGAATAAATATCCATGCCTTTGGACTTGGCAGTGGTTTCTTAATTATGACCCAAGCAGCACAAGCAATCGAAGAAAAAATAGATAGACTGAAATTAATCAAAATTAGAAACTTTTGTGCATCAAAGGACATCATCAAGAATGTAAAAAGACAACCTATAGAATGGGAGAAAATATTTGCAAATCATTACTGATAAGGGTCTAGTATCTAGTGCCTAAGGCATTTGACTGCTAACCAGAAGGCTGGTGGTTTAAACCCACCAGCCACTCTTCGGGAGGAAGGCTGGGCAATCTATTTCTGTAGTGATACCACCTCAGAAACCCAAGGAGGGGTCACTAAGAGTCGGATCCAACTCGATGGCAGTGAGTGAGTGGGTGATCTAGAACATAAAAGAGCTCTTACAATTCAACACCAAAAAGACAAATTACTCAATTAAAAAATGAGCAAAGGACTTGAAAAGACATTTCTCCAAAAGAGATCTAAAAATGGCCAATAAGCATATAAAACTGTGTTCAACATCACTAGTCAATAAGAAAATGGAAATAAAAACCACAATGAGATACCATTTCACATCCATTAATGGCTTTGAGCAAAACCAAAACAAAACCCAGAAAATAAAATATCTTGGTAAAGATGTGGGAAAATGAGAATCCTTGTTAATTGCTGGTAGAAACTTAATACCATGCAACGACTGCAAAAAACAGTTGGCAGTTTCACAAAAGGTTAAACACAGAACTACTATATAATTAGGCAAGTCCATTTCTAGGTATATGAAAACCAAAACCAAACTCACTGCCTTTGGGTCAATCTTGACTCATAGCGACCCCTCCTTGGGTTTTCCAGGAGTATCTGTATGGAAGTAAATTGCCCAATCTTTCTTCTGAGGAGTGGCTGGTGGGTTTGAACTGCCAGCCTTCTGGTTAGCAGTCAAATGCCTTAGACACTACACCATCGGCGCTCCCTACCCAAGAGAAATGAAAATATATGTCCACACAGAAACTTTAGCATATGTAGAGAAGCATTATTTCTGATAGTCAAAGGAGAAAACAATACAAATGTTTCTCAGTGTAATGTTGTAAAATGTGCTTGATATGTATCAAATAAATATAATCTCTATTCAAATCCCAGCAGGCTTTGTTATGAAAATTGACAATCTTATTTAAAAATTCTTAGAATTCTTGAAAAAGAAGAATGAATTTGGAGAACACTATCTGGTTTTAAGATTTATTATAAAATGACAGTAATCAAGATGGTATAGTATTGGCACAAAGACAGACAAATGTATCAGTGGAACAGACTTGAAAGTTTGTTACACTGAAACATTACTGCTGTTGTTGTTGTTAGGTGCCATTGAGTTGTGTCCGAGTCATAGCGAACCCATGCACAGCAGAACGAAACACCACCCGGTCCCGTGCTAGCTCTGTGATCCTTGCTATACTTGAGCCTATCGTTGCAGCCACTGTGTCAGTCCATCTCGTTGAGGACCATCCCCTCTTTCATCGACCCTCCACCTTACCAAGCATGCCATCCTTCTCCAGGAAATGGTCCCTTCTGACAACATGACCAAAGTAGGTGAGACGAAGTCTGGCCATTCTCGTTTCCTTGGAGCATTCTGGCTGCATTTCCTCCAGGACAGATTTGTTAGTTCTTTCAGCAGTCCATGGTATTTTCAGCATTCTTTGCCAGCACCACAACACAAAAGCATCAATTCTTCTTCAGTCTTATTCATTGTCCAGCTCTCACATGCATATGAGGTGATTGAAAATATCATGGCTTGTATCAGGCACACCTTAGTCCTCAAGGAGACATCCTTGCTCCTCAGCACTTGAAGAGGTCCCAGTGTAATACGTTGTCTAATGTCCTGACTATTGTTTCTGTTGGCTTTGATTGTAGAACCAAGCAATGCGAAGTCTTTAATAACTTCAATCTTTTCTCCATTTATTGTGAGGATTTTTGTTTTTGTAATCCATACTGCAGACTGTATTCTTCAGTCTCCATCAGTAAGTGCCTCAAGTCAGCCTCACTTTCTTGGCATGGTGTTTCTTGGGAAACATTACTTGGGTGGTGCAAACAGTTTGCTTTCAACTACTAACCTAATGGTTGATGGTTCGGATCCATCTAGTGGCACCATGGAAGAAAAAGCCTGATGATCCGCTTCTGTAAAGGTGGCAGCCAAGAAGACCCTGGGGAGTAGTTGTGCTCTGTTACACAAGGGGTCACCAGGAGTTGAAATTAACTCAAAGGCTACAAGTTTGGCTTTTTTTGCATATCTGTGGACAACTGATTTTCGAGAAAGGTACAAAGGCAATTTAATGGAGAAAGAGGTATTTTTAACAATGATGCTAGCATAATAGAAATCCATATGCAAATAAACAAACTTTATTCATATCTTGTACCAAATTTGAAAAATTAACTCAAAATGGACCATAGAACTAAATGTAAAATGATGTAATTTCTAGATGAGAATGTACAAAAAAAATCTTTATAACTTTTGGTTAAGCAAAGATTTCTTATATATGACACCACAATCATGATCCTTAAAAGAAAAAGTTAATGAATTTAATTTAATAAAGATTACAAAGTCTTCCTGTTAAAAAGACACTGGTAAGAGAATGAAAAGACAAGCCAGAGAACAGAAGAAAATCTTTGCAAAATATTTAT